CAGTTTCACTTCAAAATGTCCTAGTTAAATCATGAAAGCATATTTTCTATTTATCATCCTGAAATCCACATTTTTTTAAAGGTCTGAAGTGATGACCAGGAAGTGCACATAAGGCACGTCTGCTACAGTCCAAAGGGCCGTGTCCCAGGGGGAAAAAACGTATGACGTGAATTCGCCTCTTCTTTTAGGCAATATCATTTTTAATTGAAAGTATGAATGGCTAAAACCATGGTTCCTTAGACTAATTGAATTGGCAGACACTTTCCTGAAAATGAACGTGAATCTGTCCCTTTTAAAAATCAACTGAGGGCACTTGTTGCCTTGATAAAATGTAAACTTCCAGAGAAAACCAGAATTATGGAAAATTGAGTCCTATTACTATAAACTTGACAACTTACAGTATGGACCAATTTTTTCTTTTGGGATCTGTGGTAAAAAGTAAAACATGATTTTTGATAACTTGATCCCAGAGTAATCAACACTATATCTATTTAATATGTAGTTGAAAGGTTTGGAGCGGTAAAGAAAAGGAGAGTCAGGCTACATTTCTCAAAGGAAGGGAAAATTTATTGTGCCCAGGGCAGACCTCAGGGAACCAAGGCGGGGTCCGTGAAGCCGAGCACGTTGTCAGGGGGAAGCAGGCTTTTACAGGGTGAGGAGAGGTCAGGTGGGAGACTGGGCTTATAGGGCGGGGAAAAGATTTGTAGTGCAGGGGGAGGTTCATTATCTGAATTCTCTAGGCAGGTTTTAACATTCCTGTTCCCAGGTGGGCTTCCTGGTGGGTTTTTGCATTCAGGCCTCCTGCATGGACCCTTCATACCAGCCTTTTGTTGATAGGAAAAATGGCAAAGTTTCTTTCTTTGGCTACTTCCTGCTGGAAGGGCGTGAAGACCAAGGGGGTGGCTCAGGCCTGGTTATGAGGGTCTTCTGCAGGGATGCGAGAATGTGGGTGGAGAAGGAGTTGGTTAAAGGTGGTAGGAGACATTTCCTGAATGCGAGCCTGTGTGAATTTTAAGAGGCAAGGAACAAAAAGAAAGAACAAGGTTATTATTAATATTGGCTCCAAGAGTGGGAGGAGCCATGACACTATAGGATTTTGAAACCATGTTAGCGGAGAGTGGGAGCCCCCGCTTTCCCTTTTCACGTCTTTGCGTAGTTTCATGAAGGCTTCCACATTTTTTTTTACAATCCCTGACTCACTGATATAGTAACAACATTCTTCCCTGAGGAACAGGCAGGTGCCTCCCTTATCAGCCATTAACAAGTCCAGAGCCCGCCGATTTTGGAGAGTGGCCTGTGCCAGGGAGGGGAGCTGTCGTTGTAATGATGCTAAAGACAGAGAGGTTTTTTCTAAGGAGGTATCTATCCTTTAACCGAAATGTTAGATGTGCAGGAATGAAAGCCTACAAGGGTGTCAGTTTGCTAGCAGGGGTAGCTGTGATTGGAGTCCCATAGGGGGACTGAGAGTTGGGGAGTCTGGCAAGCAGTGTCCATTATCTTGGGTTATCTTGGTCGTAGTGGTATTGTGATTAATTGAAGCTGCCGCCAGTAGAGGCCTCTGAAGGGAAGCTCAGAGGAAACAAGAGGAGGTATTAGTCCCAAAAGAGTCATTTAGGAAGGGTATATAACATTTTGGATTATATGAATCCACGCTGAGGGTATCTCGGTCTTTTTTGATGACGTTAGCTCATTTTATAGGACTTATTCCAAATGGAAGATGTCCTGGGAGACTTAGACTGTGGCATTTTGTGTCAGGACATATTCCCTTGAGAAGGACAATGTTGCCACTGGGTAGAAATGCCAGCCAGTGTACCCTGCGGCTTGGACTCCCTGTACCCAACTTTGGTCTCAAGGATCTGAAATAGCAGAGTTAACTTGATTCATACCGAAACCCGTATTATGATGGACCGGAGAGAACATGCAGCCTTTGTCTGGAAGGTGCACTGTACATGACGGGTAAGGGCACCCCCTATATTATCTGTAGGTATTTTTGCAGTGATTTAAGATTTGATGGTAAAAGAAATAAAAGACAGTGTTCATAGGATTAGTAATTGACGAAAGAGTTAGGGTGAGAGTGATGGGTGCTGTGCATCCGGCCTGTGGGCACTCCGCAGTACCCACCAAGTGGGTAGTCTCCGTGGATCCTGAGACAAAGGTCTCTCTAACTTTGAATTTCCACACACAGGACACTGGGCTAGGGGAGATTTTGACAAGAAATGTGCATCCTAGTAGGACCCAGGTTACAACATGCATACTGTTTGTCTTCGGGGGCACGTTTGACCCGAGAGATGTGGTGCCAGGAGGGGTCTCCCAGAAGTGTTACCACTATAGGCGTGGTGAGAAGGACCATGTGTGGACCAGTCCACGGAGGCTGCAGTGGCTTTGGCTGAAGTGATTTGTGCAGGACTTGGTCTCCCGGCTGCAGTGGTGGGGAAGGTCAGTTGAGGAGGTCGAGATTCAAGGCAGGACTATAAAGGGATGGCTTGTAAACCACCCATGTATGTATACAGTAGTAAAATCATGTGCCATACACCAGGCTTCATCAAATTATTTACATTCATGAAACTGGTGGTAATTAATGGATAAGGGCTACTTAAATTCAAGGCCGGAAGAAAACTGAAAGAACTCAAGCTAGGGATAAAACTGTGTAAGCTCATGGTTGAGGCCATATTTGGGTCAAAAACACACAAGAGCTGTACGCACAGGAAAAAAACAGACTTTTCAGGACTTGAGACAAAGATTACACTGCGAGTCCTGCAGACCTAGTGCGCTTATGGTGACCAACGCAAGGAAAGTTACTTTGGGCTGGTCAACCGTGGGTGTAACTTGGAAACCAACTCAGGGAGAAAAGTGGGAGACAAAGTTTTAAATGCGTCCTACCCAATCCGCCTATCTGGAACCCCAAATGGCACTCTGAGAGCTGGCCTCAAGCCAGGAGCCATGAAGCCAGGAGGCAAGTAAGACCCCCCAAGGCCAACGTGTCTGATCTTTATACCAAACAGTCCATTAGCTAAGCCAAAAGAAAAAAATATCTGGGGCATTAGAAGCACGCGGGTGAGGACCCACAGCTAGGCAACCCATTTTATATCGGGGCTGCTCTGTAACAGTATGATTAAAGCAAAAAACAGAAGGCTTTTATATAGAAATCATCATCTAATAGTATATTGTTTTAATAAGATATTGATTCAATATTAAGGAACCAAGGGTCTGGAGGGCGACAATGCCAGACAAGCCGGACTGACTCTTCACTAGTCCCAAGCTCTCAATTAAGGGAGGAATTCTCCTAATCTAACAGAATCTAACCTATTACTCCTCTACTTATTTATTCAGCCTAGTTTTCATATCTAACTTTAAGATCAAGGGAAAATTCCTTTTTCTGTAAGATTGCTGATTGTTGTTTTAAGGAACTACAAATATTTCATCAGAGGCAGGGCCAGAGATGGTTATAGCTTTTGGTTCTCAGAATTGTTAATACGTGACATATCAGTAGTTGTAACATTGACTATTTCCAAGTGCATTATTTGTGCTGTCAAGGTTATTAGCTTAACCAGTCACAAAATTGTTGTTGGCTTACTCTTGAATGCATACTCCAACAGCTACCATACCCATTGTCACTGAAAGGGAACAGTTAAGGAAAAGCGAATCTTTCCCTGTAAAGAGCCATAGACATGGAAATGTCAGTAAAAGACAAACTTGCTTCCTTAACAAGCATGTCTAAACAAGGCCTGGCAGCCTGCTAGGTTGGTTGTTCTCCTGGGTCAGTCTCAAAGATCTGCATCCTTCCCCTTTTCCTGTGTCTAGAATTTGTATGCTAACTAACCAATGTTATCAATGAATCAAGTGCCATTTGCTGTCAAATTGGTTATTCCGTAATTGATCAAACAGCATTTGCAGTTTTGCTTTTAAATGCGTATTTTAACAATGGTAGAAACTAGCCATAAACAAATGAGACTTTAGCAGGAGTCAGCTAAAGAGATTCCTGACTTTTCAGGAATCTGCCCCATGCCCCGACCCTTGTCAGACGACAGTTGTAGCATGGCTCCCAGCATAATAACATCTTTTTGAAAGGTTTTATTCTAGTAAAGTAAATATTTAAAGCTATAACCCACATAAAAAATTATACATGGGATCCATAATAATTTGTGAGACTGCAGAGACATCCTGAAAGGAAAATGTTTGAGAATCGCTGACCCAGTTCCTGGGCCTGGATTCAGGGAGGCAACAGTGTGACAAAAGGTCTTGGTACAGGAGAGGAGGGGGCAGCAAAGTCCCAGGTCTGGGCGGGGTGGGATTGGGGGTGTGGCTCTCAAGGTCTTGTTGAGGGGAAAAGGATGTCCTTAGCTAATCCCATGCAGGCTTTGTGGACTCCACCCCCACTCCAGACCAAAGCCATCAGGACATTGGGAAAGACAAATCCCATCACCACCTAAGGGAAGGTTGCTGGAACCTGAGGGTGGGGTTAAGCAGCCAGGTTTGGTATAAAATAAGACATGTGGGCTTTGGAGGGCCCCCATATTGGCTCTCCACCAGCTCCTTTGCCCGGCCAGCTCTCAGAGTGCCATTGGGTTTCCAGGTCTGCGGATCGGGTGGGACGCATTAAAGACTTTATTTCCCTATTTTCTCCCTGAGTTGGACATTTCCTCATTTCCCTTTCCCTTGTAAATAAGCCTTTTGTTAACCTTTTGTGTGTGCCTGCAGTGGAGTATTAATAAGTCCCTTTTAAGCGCGCGGGTGAGGACCCACAGTCAGGCAACTCATTTTATATCGGGGCTGCTCAGTAACAGTCTCAGTCCCCAGGGCGCTGTCTGGGGCTGGAAGTTACTGTTGGGGTTTCCTATCACCCCAGTTTCCTCTCTCTCAGTTTGTGTCGGGTCCTCCTTCCTGGATACTGGTGACTCACCCCAGGGCTCACTCCCCATTGCCTGGAGGTCTCCAGAGCAGCCAATCAGCAGCCCCGCGGCTCCCGTTCCAAAGCCCTCACCCACCTGCCGGGACTCCGTCTCCCCAGCCCGGGTGGAGGCGCGTCCTGGGGGATGGGGGGCGCAGCCCTCCTGCTCCTGCTCGCGGTGGCCGCGGCCCCGAGGGAGACCCGGGCGGGTGAGTGCGGGTCGGGAGGGGACAGGGCGCTCCCAGAGGCGGGCCTCGCCGCCGCCCTAGTTGTCCCCCCACCTCGGCCCCGCCCCGTCCTGGCCCCTTTCCGTCCCCGAGACCCCAGCCTCCTCTGGCCCCCCGAGTCCCGGCCATTTTCGTCCCGCAGCCGCTTTTCACTCTCACTCGTCTTTCACCCACTTTCTGTCTCGTGGGCGCCCCCCTGGGACTCGAGCCCCCGAAGGGGAGAAGAATAGGCCGGGTCTCCCCTCCCGCCCCCAGGCTCCCACTCCCTGAGGTTTTTCTCCACCGCGATGTCCCGGCCCGGCCTCGGGGAGCCCCGCTTCATCTCCGTGGGCTACGTGGACGACACGCAGGTCGGGAGGTTCGACAGCGACTCTCCGGGCCAGAGCGCGGAGCCGCTGGCGCCCTGGGCGGGGCAGGTGGAGCAGGAGAAGCAGGAGGAGTGGGAGGAGGAGACGCGGATCCTAAGGGACAGCGCACAGTGGTTCCGAGCGCAGCTGGACTCCCTGCGCGGCCTCTACAACCAGAGCGAGACCGGTGAGCTGGCGCGGGTCCGGGCCGGGTCAGCACCCCCATCCCCACCCACGGGGGTCGCTCAGGGTCTCCCCCTCCAGGCTTCTCTGCAACCTGCCCGGGAACAGCCCGCGGGACTTCCACCCCATTTCATTTTGTTTTAGTTTATTCCGGGCGGGAGGGGTGCGGGCGGGGTGACGGGGCGGGACAGGCTCTCACACCTTCCAGAACATGTACGGCTGCGACATGGGGCCCGACGGGCGCCTCCTCGGCTGGTATGAGCAGTTCGCCTACGACGGCACCGATTTCCTGGCCCTAAACCCGGACCTGCGCTCCTGGACCGCGGCGGACACGGCCGCTCAGATCACCCGGCGCGAGTGGGAGGCCCAGGGTGAGGCAGAGAGATTCAGGAACTTTGTGGAGGGCAGGTGCTTGAGGTGGCTGCTCAGATTCCTGGAGTACGGGAAGGAGACTCTGCAGCGCACGGGTAAGAGGGGCCTGGAGGCCTCCCGGTCCCCCCTGCCTGGAGTCACTGCGGGAAATGAGTCCTCTCTCTAGTCCCGAGAGGGGGACTCCCCTGGGTTTCATGTTCTGCACTAGAGAGACTCCCAGAGACTCCGGCTTCTCCTGAAGGACAGTGAAGGGATCCTGTCTCTCCTGAGAAAGACAGTCCCTGACATCACACGTCACCGGGTCCTTTTGACCAGGGGCCTGTTTGAGAACCACGAGTTTCTCTCTCAGTCTTGTTTCTGGTCTGAGAACATTGTCAGTTATGTGATTCCTGCTTTTCTGTGTCATTCACCTTCCACCCAGGTCAGGAATAAAAAGTCTGTGTTCCACTCCCTCTGCTTCATCCTACCCTGGGTTTTCATCCTCATTCTAGAACTTTCTAAGGAATAGGAGAATCTCACAGATTCCCCCAGATTAGCCTGTTTTTTACATTTTATGTTTCTTCCTGCCACACCGGTTGTCTTGTCCATTGTGAGGATGGTCTCATGAGGTTTCTTCAGTGTCCATGGAGGAAACACAAAGTGAATTTTCTGATTTACCACCTCAGATCCCCAAAGACACGCATGACCCACCACCCCTACAATGACCATGAGGTCACCCTGAGGTGCTGGGCACTGGGCTTCTACCCTGCGGATATCACCCTAACCTGGCAGCGAGATGGGGAGGACCTGACCCAGGAGATGGAGCTGGTGGAGACCAGGCCTGGGGGAGATGGAACCTTCCAGAAGTGGGTGGCTGTGGTGGTGCCTTCTGGAGAGGAGCAGAGATACACATGCCACGTGCAGCATGAGGGACTGCTGGAGCCCCAAGTCCTGAGATGGGGTGAGGAGGAGGATGTGGGCACAGAGGCTGTTCTCAGGGCCATCAGGAGCCCTTCTGGAGAACTTCAGAGGGTCACAATAAGGTCTGGGGCTCAGGGTATGATCTTCTCTTCCCTTCCAGTGCCCCCTCAGTCCTTCATGCCCACCGCAGGCATCATTGCTGGCCTGGTTCTCCTTGGAGCTGTTCTCACTGGAGCTGCAGTGGCTGCAGCTGTGATGTGGAGGAAGAAACGCTCAGGTAGGGAAGGGAGTGGGGGGATCTTGTCCACTGGGGCTTTCAAGTCCCAGGGAGAACTTGCCCTACCTGGTTAATGGGAAGTACCATCCTCACATATGTGTGGTACCCAGAGGGCATTTGGTCCCCCTCACCTTCTTTCTTCATTTTTTTCCCAGTCCTAACCTGGGTCTTTACTCACAGCTCTGGAAACTTCCCTGATCTGCAGGATTAAAAGATTTCTTTAGGTCTTCTGACCTGACCACTCCCTGGTCTCACATGATGTTTCTTCCCACAGGAGGACAAGGAGGAATCTACACTCAAGCTGCAGGTAAGTGTGGATCAGCGGTTTGATCTCTGAGCTCCTGGGGACAGTGTAAATGGACTCCATGGGAGAGTCACCCTCATCACTCCCTCCTGTGGTCTCATTTCTGACCAGGTGTGTTTTGTTCTCAACCCGGCAGCAGCAGTGCCCAGGGCTCTGATGTGTCTCTCAGCCCCTAAGAATCTTTTACAATGAACCTGATGAGATTCCTGTTCTGCACACCCTGGACAGCACCTGGTATTGTTCAGCGTTTGCATTTTCAGTCTCTCCTAGGTGTGATGGTATCACTGTTGTTCTTAACTGTGATATTGAGCATCTGTTCATATTTTTACTTTTCTATGACTAAAGTTGCTGTTTGTAAGGAAATTTTGTACATTTTTACAGATGAGGTGCCATTCATTTATTACATTATTTTTGTCCTTATTAAAATTGGGTTATTTCTTTCTGATCATTGAGTTTTAGGCATTATTTGTAGATACAATCCTTTATCAGATTTGTGATTTGCAAATGTTTCCCCCCACTCTCTGACCTGAAATCCTTTACTGATGGGAAAACAAACACTATTGCCCAGACAGGCGCATGGAGATATATTAGAAGAGCAAAGATAAATTGCTAACTGGTTTTGAGCAGACATTGGCTGACTGGGGTCTTGGGGATGGAGGGGAATGACTTATGTGTATCCTTGAGTGTTATTTAAATGTCCTTGTATGAGCATGAAATATGCTTTCTAAAGTAAATTACACTTTATTCCTCAATTTATAAAACTCTTCATACATCATGTCTAAATCACATGTTAAGACCAGACTGACAGGTCAATTACAAGTGATGGACCTGCATGTCACAGTCACAAAGTCATGATTTCTCTCAGGGTTCACTCTGGTGTTGTCCATTCTCAGGGTGTTGGACAAATGTATAATGACCTGTGTCCACCATGAGAATATCATGCAGAGTGTTTTCACTGCCCATAATGCCTTCTGTGCTCCAAGGAAGCAAAAGCAAAAAGAAACCAATAGAATCACATCAGACTAAAAAGCTTCCACATAGTGAAGGAAACTAGCATTAAAATGACAAGACAATATCAAATCGGAGAAACTATTTGCACATCATCAATCCAACAAGGAGTTAATATCCAAAATCTACAAAGAACTCCAAAACAAGAAACAACTCAAAACGGGCAGAGGAGCTAAATAGGTACTTTTTCTAAAGAAGACACACATGTGGCCAATAGGTACATGGATAAATGCTGGTCATGTGCGGTCAGGAAAATGCCAATTGAAACCATAATGACTTACCACCTCACACTGTGAGAATGGCCCATTGAAGGGTGTGGAAGAAAAGGAACTCTGGCACATGGTGGGTGGGAATGATGTCTGATCCTGTTAGTGGGCAGAATGAGGGGTTCCCTGGGCCCTCAAAACCGCACACTCTATATGGGATCTGCCAACAGCTGCATAAAGACAAAACATACTCTAAAGCATAAGACCTTCAATGGAAAAGAACTTTAATATAATTACTATAAAATAGAGAATCAGTGCAGTAGAGAGAGAGAAGAGAAAGAATATAGTTCGAATATTTCCCAAGTGAAGCACCCAAAGTTACCCGTCCCCTCATGGGTAAATGCCCAGCCAAACAGGCTTGGCCCAAAGCAGGCCCACTGGGGCCCGAAGGCCTGCCACAAGGCTAAGGCACCTACTGGTAGAGACCCATGGGAAAGGGTCAGCCTCCCGATGGGTCTCTCATTCACGTTTTTGTCTTTCACGTGTCTCTTTCCAAGTCCCCAGCTCCCTGGCACAAGTCCAAGTGAGAAGCAAGTGTGGTTTCTTCTTCACCTGTCTCTCTGCTCCATGCGCCTCCTCCAGTCCTTTCCTCATCTCACTCCACGTCTTCCTCCTCTTCCTTAGCTTCTCGTCCCTGCTCAGCCCCACCTTTCCTTGGGCAGGGCGGTAACCTGGAACCTCTCTTTTCTATGGATAGCACATTGGTCCTGCCCCTATAGAAAAAAAAAAAAATGAAGGTTCCTCAAAATAGACCTGTCACATGGTCAAGCATCCCATTCCTTGGTATTTATCCAAAGAAGGTAAAAACACTAATTCCAAGGAATATGTGCCTCCTATGGTCACTGCAGTGCTGTCTACCATAACCAAGCGATGAAGACAACCTTAGTGCCCAACGGCAAATGAGGGGATAAAGAACACAAGCTATATACACAATGGAATACTACTCGGCTGTGAAAAAGATGAAATAATGGATTTGCAACAACATGGATAGATATGAATGGGATTGTGCTAAATGAAATAAGTTTGAAGGGGAAAGTTAAGTACTGGATGATTTCATATTTGTAATATAAAGAAACAAAGCAGGGACAGATGAAACTAAACCAAAACATATATGACTGCAGAATGGAAGTTATGGGCTGGGGGTAAGAGTAGGAAACAAAGTAGGAAGAGGGCCCAATGGACTATGGTTAAGACTGTGGGTGCCGTTAGTGTGGGTGTGATGTGGTAACAAACATCTGAAGAGGTGTGACCCTCGCCTCAACACATGCAGTGTTGTAAACCAATGCTAACCTCAATTGAATAATACAGTGAAGGTAAAAAGAAATTGTCTCCTCCATCAGTCACTGACCTCAGGACTTTGCCTTTACCTCCTCACTGTCAAGCAGGCTGAGGGGCTGGTTTCCCTCAAGGTCAGAGGCAGGAGGTGCAGGGACTCCTGGGGCTGCTCAAACACTGCTGAGTAGAGACACTACAGAGAGGGCGGCTGTGAGGGGAACCAGAGACAGAGGGTCAGAGTAACCTCAGTGCTGAGTGAGGGTCTGGTTCCCAAGGAGAGGGGAGTATGTATGTGTGTGTGTGTGTGTGTGTAAGAGGAATGGCAGGATAAGATGATGGGAAATCAAATAACATCCAGCCCCAGAATAAATTAATTCAAATCGCACACAGAGTAAAGTGTGTCAGAACAACACCTCTGTAAATACAGGTCCATGCAGAAGCAGCTTCTGAGCAGGGCTAAAAAAGCACTGGACCTGAAGAAGAGGAGGAGGTTTAGAAATATCTCATGGTTGCCTTGAGATGTAAAGAGCTGGGCAGGATCCCTCCCCCCACCCTGGCCCCTGCTAGGATGTGGTGGCATCTTCACCCCTGACAGCTCCCTCCCCCAACCCCAATGTTCATCTCCTTTGGAGTCATCTGTATATGTACATATATGTACATGTGTAATGCCAGCTTCTTCTTAATTTCCCACCTGTCTGGGGCATTCAGGTGGTGTCCATAGCTTGGCTACTGTAAATAGTGCTGCAGTGGTGACGGGAGTGCAGGTCCCTTCACAGGAGAGTATTTATCCTCTGTGAGTAGATCCTCAGTGTAGAATTGCTGGGTCCAATGGCAGAACCACATTCACTCTTTAAGAAACCTCCGTACTGTTTCCATAAGGGCTGGCTCCGTCTTTATCCAAAAACAGTGCACGACTGTCCCCTTTTTTCATCCTTGCCAGCACTTGTTGTTTCTGGTCTTTTGGATATGGGCCATTCTTGCAGGTGTGAAGGTTTAAACCAGGGGATCATAAAGCCACACAATATGGGCGAAAAGAAATCCTGTAACACTCAGGCCCACGGAAGGCTGTCTAATACCCTGAAAGAAAATAATGATGAAGAAATTCAGGTGAATTACCTCAGTGTTAACAATATCAATGGTCCATTGCATTCTCAGGATGTCCTCCTGAAAGCATCCCCATAATCTTGTCCCAGCCACTGTGCCACAACCCCAGCCCCCCAGCAGTCTTCGAGGGTCTCACCTTTAAGGTCTGAGATACACTTCAGAGCACTGGGACTGTGGCTGCTGGGGGAGAACACATCAAAACTTGGTCAGAGATGAGACCACAGAAGGAACTGATGAGAGTGACTCCCCCATGGGCTCCATCTACACTGTCCCCAGGGGCTCAAGGATCCAACCCTTGAACACACTTACTTGCAGCCTGAGTGTAGCTTCCTCCTTGTCCTCCTGTGGGAAGAAGTATCATGAGAGACCAGGAAGGAGTCAGGTCAGAAGCCTAAAGGAATCATCTAATCCTGCACCACAGGGAAGTTTCCAGAACTGTGAGTAAAGACCCAGGTCAGGACTGGGAAAAATGAAGAAAGGAGATGAGAGGGGATTGAACCAAATACCCTCTGGGCAACACACGTGTGTGGATGGTACTTCCCATTAACCAGGCAGGGCAAGTTCTCCCTGGGACATGAAAGCCCCCAGTGGACAAGATCTCCCCACTCCCTTCCCTACCTGAGCACTTCTTTTACCCCCTCATACATGAAGCCACCTTGTGTCCAATGAGCACACCGACAAAGAGAACCAAGCCAGAAATGAGGACGACAGCAAGGATGGAGAACTGAGGAGGGGAAACTGAAAGGAAGAGAAGGTCAGACCCTGAACCTGAGGCCTCAGTCTGACCCTCTGAAGGTCTCCAGAAGGGAGAAGGGCATCCTTCTGATGCCCCTGAGTCAGCCGTGTGCCCACATCTCCCTCCTTACTCCATCTCAGGACTCGGGGTGCAATCAGCCCCTCATGCTGCACATGGCATGTGTATCTCTGCTTCTCTCCAGAAGACACCTCCACAGCTGCCCACTTCTGGTAGTTTCCATCCCCCCTCCCTGGCCTGATGTTCACAAGCTCCATTTCCTGGGGCCATGTCCTCTTCATCTCTCTGCCAGGCCAGGGTGATGTCCGCAGGGTAGAAACCCAGGGCGCAGCACCTCAGGTTGACCTCATGCCCAGAGATGGGGTGATGGGTCACATATGGCGACTGGGGGCCTGAGTGGGAAGAATCAGAAATTTCGTGCTTTGTGTTTCCTCCATGGACACTGAAGCAGCCTCATGTGACCATCCTGCAGTGGACAGAACGGTGAATATGGAGGGAGGGGCACAAACCCCAGAAACCAGCCTGGTCTGGGAGTCCGGGATAGCAGGTGAGAGCCCTGGGTGGGATACAGGTCTCTAAGCATTTTGTTGCTGACTTGGGTGGAGGGTGATGACACAGACAGGCAGGAGTGAGATCTCCAAAAATGCTCTCTGACCAAAAAACAAGATCTCGACAGAGAAACTCATTGTTCCTATGATGGCTGCCGGTCAAAAGGATCCTGTGAAGGGTGATTTCAGGGTGGTCTCCCCTCTTTCTCAGGAGAAACTGGATTCCTTAACTGTCCTACAGAAAAAGTAGGAGCCTCCTGGCCAGTCTCCATCCCAGAGCTGGAAAACGTGGCCGACAGCTCCCTCTCTGGCCAGAAGGGGGCGCTTTCTCACCCTGATTCCATTTCCCTGCGGGGTGCGCGCCTCAGGGAGATCAAAGCCCCGCAGCCCTCTCACCTCTGAGCTGCGGCGCCTCCTTCCCCATCCCCAGGAGTCTGGGGGCCCCTCCACGCACCCCCCCAGGCTGCTCCCGTCCTGCTCTGCCCGACCTTCCCCCTCCCCCTCGCGCCGGGGAGCTGAGCCGCGGGCCCGCCGGGTCCAGGCGCGCAGGTCCCCGCCCAGGGCGCGTCCCCGGCGCCGTCGTGGGGAGCTGGTCGTGCCCGCGGGGGCGCGCCGTCGGGCCCGCGGCGCAGCCCAGAGTCCTCTGGATCGTGGGAGACCCTGAGCCCGCCCTGCAGTCACCCCGTGGTCTCCGCCCGCACCCGATCTCCCGCCCTGAATAATCCCAAACTTAAATAAAACCTAAAGGTGAAAGTCCCGCGGGCTCTTCCTGGTCAAGGGGCCTGGCAGGGGCCACGGCCTCGGGGGTCACGGGCCCCGAGACTCGGGCGGGGGTGGGGGGGAGCGGTGACCCGCCCCGGCCCGCGCTGCTCCCCGGCCCGGCTCTGGCTGCGGCGGCCGCGCGGGGCCTCCAGGAGCGCTTGGAGCCTCCGCGCCGAGTGTCTGCGGAGCCGCGTCTCCTCGCCCGACCCTCCCGCCCCGCCCGCCCGCCCAGGGGCCCGCGGCTCCGCGCTCTGGCCCGGGGAGTCGCTGTCGAACCCCGAACTGCGTGTCGTCCACGTAGCCCCGCGATGCACCGGGGCTCCCGAGGCCGGGCGGGACATCACCATTTCTAACACCCTCAGAGAGGGGGAGCCTGGGGCGGGGAGGGGTGAAAGCCGGGCGGACCCTCCTCCCGGGGCAGGTCCTGAGTCCCGGGGAGATGGGGCAGGGGAGAAAGTGTCCAGGAGAGAGGGAGCTCCAGAGACTGAACATGGGCCAGCGGGTCCAGAAGGGGCAAGACTCAGGGGACAAAAGGAGGAGGCAGGGTGGGGGGACAGAAAGGGACTAGGACTGAGGGGCGCCACGGGGGTGACAGAGGGGCCTAAGGCAGCTTCCTCTGCAGAAGCCTTTTCCCTCCACCCTGCACTCACCAGCCCAGGTGTCTGTCTGGGCCAGAGTCCTGGAGAGAAGCAGCAGGAGGAGGGTTGGGGGCCCCATGACCAGCACTGCTGGGGTCTGGGGAGCTTCTGACTCCAGGCTGGTGGACAGAGACTTACCTGGGCAGGCAGTGATGCTGACTGGTTCTCTGGGAACCTCAGGCACTGGAACTGAGAACTGGGGAGGAGTCACAAGTGTCCAGGGCCCAGCACAGGTGGTGGAGACAGAAGGGAGGCTAAGGGGTAGTGGGGTATCCCCAACAGTAACCTTCCTGCCCTGGACACAGCCCTGGGCCTGGAACTATGAGAACCAGACTAGGGACCTGGGGCTTTGCTCTGGCCCCTCCTGTCCTCACCCAAAGCTTCCTCACCCTGTCTCCATGACCCAAGCACTGGGTCTGCGATTCTCAGTCATTTTCCTTCCCGGATCCGTGTCCAGTCTGACAAATTAGGGAGGACGCCAAGTATAATCTTGTTTAGGAGGTATCGCTCCCCATATTTACCACACTGGGAATAAAGCTGAGTTTAATCGTGTAGCTATTTCATTTAGAATAATAGTAATAATCCAATACGTGTTTATAGAAAGTGTTCTTAAGAAAAGTAACTTATTTCTGAAAATAATCATGGCAATAAGAAGAGTGGATATTTTACATTTTTTATTTTTGCAATTGTCTTTCTTGTCTGTCTCATTAGAAGACAGTAGGATTTTCATGTTCCCTTCTGCATTTATTTTTTTTAAGATTTTATTTTTATTTATGCATACAAGAGCTGGGGTACATGGCAGAGATGCAGGGCATGAGAGGATTCACCAGAGACAGAGCGGGGAACAGAACAGGTGGACTGACTGAAATATACTGCCAAGGGGAGCAGCAGGAAAGTCAGGAGAGGTCTGCTGAGCCATGTTGGTTGCTCCCTGGCTGGCCTGGGATGGGACTCTGTGCTGCAGAAGCTGCGGATTGCTTCACAGCGTGGTGCTTAACCCCTGGAGTCACCAGGGAGGCCCTCCTTCTGCATTTAGTCTGTGGTTCTGGTTGAAGTCTATGAAAAATGTATACAGCCTCACACAAGTATGTTGGAGTAGTATTCACATAATATGAATATTCCACTTCGATACTAAATTAAAACTATATAGGTGGTATTTTCTCAAAGGTTACTTGCGAAGTCCAACCTGAAACAATATCACTGAATATTTCTTATTCTGTTACATTTCCATAGTCCTCTCTTGCATATTAATGGGGTCTTGTGCTAATGTGTGATTTTTTTTAAAGATTTATTTATTTATTTATATAAGCACTAGGTACAGTCAGAAGCGTGGGAAGGTGAGATAATTCACCAGAGCCATAGCAGGGAACAGAATTGGCAGACTGATGAAATACACTGCTGAGGGGAGCAGCAGGCGCGGCCGGAGAGGTCTGTGCACCATTGGGGACCCTCGCTGGCGGCCAGGGATTGAACTGGCACTGCAGAGGCTGTGGGCAGCTCTGCAGCCCAGCGCTCAACTGCTGCGCCACCAGGGGAGGCCCTAATGTGTGAATTTTTTAAGTAATGTATTGTTTCACTAAGTTAAAAAGCTCTTCAGTGTTCATTACACTGGAATAAAATTATTTTAAAAATTCATTTTATTTTTCACCACAAATCCCAAAAGTAAAAGTAGTACTGGAAATTGTCAAGTTAGTGATAGGACACAATTTTCCATATTCTGTTTTTTTCTGAGCGCTTACATTTTGTCAAGGTGAAGTTACTGTCAGTTATCAATTGTCAGTTGATTTCTTAAAGGAGCACACACTCATTTTCAGGACAATGTCTGCTCATTAACCAAATCAAATAGCCACAGTTTTTGTCATTCATTCGTTCATGTGAAGGTGGTATTGCCTACGAAAAAAGAAAAACAGTCTAATTCATCTCATGCAAATATGTTCCTTGGCACGTGGTAGTTGGGAACGCAGCAGAAGTGCTCTGTGTGCACTTGCATGTCATCATATCAGGTGATGTAAAATATGGATTTGAGGATTATAAAATAATGAAGATAATTTTCAGTGTTTCAGCCAAGACACTTTGAAATGAAACTGGCTTGGAATTGTGCTTCTGAGGTAAGAAGTGGTGAATATTAACTACTACTGCAGTTAGTACTATAAGCTCCATTTTTACTAAGTTTTACCTCAGCAGATGTCAGAATAGTGAAAAGACAAATGGTGTCTAAGTGACATTTTGAAAATAGTTTTAACCTCATGGACCTTGTGACAAGTTCTGGGTGACTTCAATGATTCCACAACCACACTTTGAGAAATGCTTTTCTGAGGGAACCAGGGAGCATCTCCCAAGTGTTCTCTTCATCACTTCCCAGCATCCCTCTCCCTGGCTGGCTCCTGCCTCCCCAAGCTGCCTCCCCTGCAGATACAATGGAGAGCAGACAGAGGACCCTGGAGATGTGGAGCTTGCACTGTCAGGAGAGATGGACACTGAGCAAACGTGACAAACACACGTGTAAACCCAACCTGAGCCCTGTGCTGGCAGGATGGAGTGTGTATATTATGAAAGCAGAGAAGCAGGAGCACAAACTGGTCCCCTTCTATTATTTTAAATAATATCAAAGATGTAAAAAATAAATTAAAAACAAGGCCTCTCTGATGGCATCAGGGTTAAGTATCAGTGTTATCACTGTGTGGAACTGAGTTTGACCCCCTGCCAGGGAGCTACCCACATGGCGCAGCAGACCTCGTCTGTCTCACCCACCGCTCCCCTCAGCAGTGGTTTCAGTGAATTGGCCTGTTTGGCTCCCCACACTGTCTCTGGTGAATCCTCTCACCCTCTGCACCTCTGGCCTACACCCCAGTTCTGATATGCATAAATAAATAAAAAATAAATCTTAAAAAAAACAAAAAAAAAAGAATACCCTGCAGCATCAGGTACAAGATCCATCTCAGACCCAGCAAACAGCAGAGGCTGGGGACCCAGTGGTGGTACAGGTGCAACAAAACACTATCGGGGACTTAGTCAGCGTGAGTCAGGCTTTGTCGTCAAATGAGTTTGATGCCAAACTACAGAGGGTCAGTCCACCCAGCACTGGTGGGCCAAGAAGCCTGGCTGGTCTGCAGACCCAGTCAGCAGTCAGGCACCGCCTGGGAGACTCAAGGGATAGCTTTTAAGTTTGGCTTAATCTAGCCCTTTGTTTAATTTCTGTATATCCACATCTAAGTGATACATTTGTCTTTCTCCATTAGGCTTATTTCAATTAGCTCCATCCGTGTTCCCTTAGATGGCATGAGTTTATGTTTCTTGATGAGTAGTATTCTATTATCTATGTACAACCCCTTCCACAGCTTGGCTACTGTAAATAGTGCTGCAGTGATCAGGGGGTGCAGTTTTCCTGTGAAGTAGTGTAACGTCCTCTGAAGGTGTGCTGGTGCCTGCCGCCCTAAAGGAGCCGGAGTCTCTGAGAGCACCTGCTTACTCTGCACAGGAGGTTCCAGGAGGTTAGAAGTTCTGCAAGCAGAACTTCTTCCCCAAATTAACTCCTGTTCCCTGAGGACATGCTGACTTGTGTGCATGATCCCTACTAACTAGAAAAACTTGTTCCAGCAATAACTTATTCATGTGTATAAGTATAAACACAATTGCACGCTGTTTCTTATCCCTTTGTTCATATCTTTAATAAGAGCTTGGGCTGGGAGAGTGAGAGGCAGAGCTGCTCTAGAGGCTTCTCTCCAGCCTCCCCCTGCTGCTAATTCATTTAGACTTCGAATCCAATTCATAGCTGAGAACTTCTCATGGGCGTCTGAGGCAGGGTAGATACCTTGGAATGGGACTGCTGGGTCCTACGGCAGATGCTCAGTTAATTTTCTAAGAAAACTGGACATTGTTTTCCAACAGGGATGAACCAGTCTATATTCCCCAAATCAGTGCAGGACCGTCCTTGTCTCCATGTCCTACCAGCTCTTGTTAGGTCTGTTTTTTTTGATATGGGCCATTCTCACAGGTGTGAAGTATTTTCTCATCGTATTTTAAATCAGGGGATCTTGAATGGATCAAGAAGATGGGGTACACTTCAGTCCCATGAGAATGCCCACATTAAAAATGAAAAAAACAGAAACAACAAATGTTGGAGAGGATGTGGAGAAAAAGGAACTCTCCTGCATGGCTGGTGGGAATGCAAACTGGCCCAACCATTATTCAGAGCTGTGTGGAAGACCCTCAAATTACTACAAATGGATCTACCTAATGATCCAGCAATTCCATTCCTAGAAATCTACCCAAAGGACACAAAACACTAATTCAAAAGGAAAACTGTACTGCTATGTTTATTTCAGCAATATTTACAGTAGCCAAGATATGGAAACAAACCAATACCCCCAAATCAACAAATGAGTCAAAAGGTTTTGGTATATTTAGACAATAGAATATTACTAAGTGATGAAAAAAGACAAACTCATCCGATTTGCAGCAACGTGGAAGGAGCTAGAAGGAATTATGCTCAGTGAATAAGTCAGAAGGAAAAGAAAGAACAGATGGCTTCACATATAGGAGGAATATAGGGGAAACAAATAAGACGTAGGGGAAAAATAATAACAGTACAAAACATAACAAAGCAAAACAAAAAACAAAACAAAACAGACAATTATAAACCAGAGACATCCTTCAGGGGAGCCTAAGGGAGAGAGCGCACAGGGAGCTGTGGGGATGGTGCACGGTTGCACTGGTGGAGGAACTTCTATGGGGACTACACCTGAGGAGGAAAAAACAAACAAACATTGTTAAAAAGGAACAATGATGTAAAATATATATAAATAAATTAATTAAAAAAATAAAAGTAAAAGAACTTTTACAGTAAAAAAAAAAAGTCTGACCTCCAATCCTGGTAACAATCACAGTAACAATGCTTGTCTGTCTGTGCTCCCCTCCAGTGTGCCATGAATACAGGGAGATTCATCCTGACATTATAGTGGGAAGGGAGGTGGGGAAACCAGCCTGGGTTTATCTGAGATCCTTTCCCTGCTGCACATGGAGTGTTACCCTGGAGTAACATTACATCTTCCAAGAGCTGATGGACCCTGCCCCATCTCTCCCTCCCTTCCTGTACTGTAGACAGAGGCTCAGCTCAGTAATTGGGGTGACCTGGGCTAATCCTGCCCTGGGCCAGGCCAGCAGGACACAGATTTCTCCCTCCCGCTGTGGGACTCCCTCCAGCTCTGGTCTAGAGAGAAAGTAGCTGCAGCCCATGGAGGCAGTGACCCCCTGGAAAACAGAGGGGGTGCCATGCTGGAGCTCCCTGACTCTGAGGCCTGTGTGCTTTCTACAGTGACCCCAAAGAAGAAGAACTTGAAGTGAACATTGGGGTCAGGGGAGGGACTGTCAGGTGCAACCACATCCTAGCAGGGGCCTCAAGGGGGTCCTACCCAGCTCCTTCAGCTCAGTCCAACCACAACATATTTCTAAACTTTCTTCTATTCTGAGACCCAGTGCTTCTTCACATCCTGCTCAAAGACAGCTTCTTCATGGAACTGTACTTATTGAGATGTTTTGCTGACATTCTCCTTCTCTGTGAGATTTGAATTTATTTATGCTGGGACTTGATGTATAATTCTCCCCCATTTTCTTGTGTTGTGTGCCCTGTCTCTCCTGTTACACACACACACACACACACACACACTCACTCCCTCCCCTAGGGAACCAGACCCTCATTCAGCAGTGGGGTTACTCTGACTCTCTGTCTCTGGTTCCCTCAAGAGCCGCCCTCTCTGCAGTGTCTCTACTCAGCAGTCTCTGAGCAGCCCCAGGAGTCCTGCACCTCCAGCCTCTGCCCTTGTGGGAAACCAGCCCTCAGCGTGCATGACAGTGAGGAGGCGAAGGCAAAGTCCTCAGGTCAGTGATGGATGGAAAAGACAATTTTTCTTTTGCTCAAGATAGTTTCTCCCCCCAGCCATGATTGTATTATTTCTACTGAGGTAACATGGGTTTACATACTGTATGTGTGCAGAGGCACAGGGTCATACCTCTTCAAGTGTTTGTTACCACTTCACACCCACCTAAGGGCACCCATAGTCCTCACCACCGTCACTGGGCCCTCTTCCCACTTTGTTTCCTACATCACACCCTCTCCCTCCCCTCCCACATAGCCTCATATTTCTAGAGTATGTTTTGGTTTAGTCTCATCTGTCCCTGCTTGGTTACGTTATATTCCACTAATGAGTGACATCACTCAGTAGTTGACTTTCTCATTCTAACTTATTTCACTTAGCATAATCCCCTCCACATCTGTCAATGTTGCTGCAAATATAACTTTTCACAGCTGAGTAGTATTTCATTGTGTCTGTCTACCACCTCTTCTTAACCCACTCATCTGTCATTGGGCACTGAGGTGTTTCCATAGTTTGTTATTGTGCACAGGCTGCAGTGAGCACAGGAGGCGCATATCCTTTGGAATTAGTGCTTTTACCTTTGGATATATACCAAGGAATGGAATACTTGACCATATGAAAGGTGTATTTTGGATATTTTGGGAAACCTTCCTTTCTTTTTTTTTTTTTTTTTTTTGCCTACGGGCAGGACTGTAACAGTGTGATATCCATAGTAAAGGGAGGTTCTGTTACCAGGCAGGGTGAGGGACCCAGGACTCCCAAACCTGCCCACGCTAAATGGGTTCTGCCATCAGCCACATGAAAACAAACATACTCTAGTACATGAGACATTAAATGGGAAGGAACTTTAATACAATCACTGTGTAAGAAAGAGAATGAAGGGACAGAATAGAGAATATGTTTCCCAATCAAGCACCCTAATTTACCCATCCCTTATGGGTCACCTCAACCAAACAGTTTGATCCAAAACAGGGACACTGAGCCCCAAAACCTGTCAAAAGTAAGGTACCTTCTGGTGGGACCCATAGGAAAGGGGCAGAAAGAGCCAGACAAGTCTGGAAGGAAAAGAACAAAATCAAAATCAAGATAAATGTTGCCACTGTAATCTCCCCACAGGTCTCTCACCCATGTCTGTTTCCAGTGTCTCCTTCCATGTCCCCCCAAGTCTCTGGCACATGTCCAAGGTTGAGAAGCAATCACAGCTTCTTCACCTGTTCCCATCTTTGCTGCTGTTAGAGCCTGGAAGGGAAGGTAAAGACCTGGAACTGGGATTTATTTAATTAATTCATTAATTAATTTCTTTATTTAATTTACTCTAATGCATAAGGTCTTCAATAGAAGAGGACTTCAGTACACTTAGTGTGCAAATAAAGAGAATAGAAAGACTATAGTTAAAGTAGTTTCTAAATGAAACACCCAAGTTACCATTCCATTGGGTGTAAATGTCCAGCCAAACAGGGTTGGCCCAGAGCAGGACCGCTGAGGCCTGAGAGCTTACAACAAGATTAAGGCACCTTCTGGTGGAGACCCATAGGAGAGGGGCAGAAGTGGCCAGGCAAGACTGAAAGGAAAAGAGCAAAATAAAGATGATACGGGGCAAAAGAGGCACTAAAGCTGGCCAAGGACACTGCCCAAATAGTTTACCCGTCTGATTCTTCCCCCATGCACACAATTACAAGACCACTCAGCCTCAGAGGACAACAATAATGGGGTGTATTTAAAACCAGGGAAAAACAAAGAGTTCCTGAGACCACAAATGGCCGTTTACCTCACATGAAGCAGTGTCCAGTGTTGTAAAGTCCTAAACACAAATGTTCCCAATTAGCGTCTTCCTGCCACTGAGGGCCTGGAGCACGTGGCTGCCAGACTATAGGCCGGGATCCACTCACGAAGACAGCAGAAGACACAACAGGAGATGCTCAACGGAGCTGCCGAGATGCCCCAGCACAGCACAAGACAAGTGACACTCAAAACAGCTGCTGCAGCTGCCAAAGACCTGACAAATGCCACACTCAAAGCTTAGAGAGGCGCCCGGGTCCAGGTCTCGCTTCCCTGCCAGGCTGTGACAGCAGCAAAAACAACGGGAACAGGTTCAGTCACTCAGCTACTTGCAAAGCCTCCGAACATTTCTTCTCTGAGGTTGGCTGCAGAAAACACAAATGAATGCACATATATACCTTTTCCTTTTAAAAAAGAACAAATTGCAAAATTTACAGTACCTGAATTCAAAATTTACTAAAGCTGCATTAATCAGGATAGTGTGATCCTGGCCTAAGTCCTGACAGGCATCAACAGAACAGATTGGAATGTCCGGAAATAGATACACTTGGGCAATCACTTAATTTTTTAACAAACACAGCAAAGTAATGCATTGGGGTCAAGGAAAACCTTTTCAATTAAAGGTAAGGGAATAATCGGGTATTCAACTGGAAAGTTTATTTAAAAGGAACCTGAATATTCTTCAGCATTGCTCTCATCCAGCACCACACTCTGCTCTTACCCTTTTCTAGTGACACATTAGTAATGTATCACTATTGATTCGTGTCAGCAATAAAGACATTGTTCCCTGTTCTAGTGCTATTCCTACTACAGGGATAGCACCTTCTCTTTATTAAAAAAACTTTTTAAATTATTAAAATAGCAGTAGTCATTAATAACAGTTCCAGTATTAATGAAAAAGTACACAGTAATTGTCCATTATCATACAACCCAGGACTCACTGAAATTGAGATGATGTTTTCAAGCTTCTACAAATGATATCATAAAATTTGTATAATGCCTTTTTACTTAATACTGTTTAGCACATGTTTGTCTTTTTTATGATTCCTTGCAATTTTAATATTTTTGTCGAATGTAATATGACCATATTAGCTTTCATTTCAGCTTATTCTCATAACATTGTATGACATTTTCATGACATTTCATTTCCCAAAGAAATAAATTTAACTGCAAACTATATCCAAATTGTATATCTAATAAACGTCTACTTCTAGAGTATCTAGCAAACTCATGACTCTTCTGTGGAAATTGCCCATTTTACAATCCTCTATCAAAAATGTAATTTGACTGTTGAGCAGACAAGGGAGTAAGGGTGGAACAAATTCTTTTTTGTCTTTTTTGTTATGTTAGACATATTTTGTGTACTATGTATACTTAGTTATGACACTTTCCACAAGGAAATTTAGGGCAGATTTCAAAACTGAGCACTTCAAAATTATATTCAAGCATCCTGTTACAAGAAAAATCACAGAAGCTGTCTTCAGGCAGTAAAATGGATGACAGGTAAGATGGTCCCTGGCCACTGTTAATTGTTGAAGTTCTGGCAACATGAACTAACTGGTCAACTATGGTCTCATCCAGGAATTTCAATTATATGTACAAGAATAAATCTTGCCCTTCATGTGGCCTTCCACTATAGACCACTTTGTGAAGTGAACCAGAGAGAGGCAAGGTTCAGGGAGAAAGAAGACAGAGGAAATGCAAAAAGGAGAAGCAGATTTTGACCAAGAGCATTTCCTAGAATCTGGCAGCTTAGTTGCAAGTTTCACTTCCTTCCAGAACTCCAGTGCATTCCTGCCTTTGAACTCTGCGAAACTTTTCAATCATTGCAATACCGAGCTCCCAACTTTATGTCAAATCAAAAGTTTCTTAAAAAGGCCCATATAATACAAAAAGAATATGACTGTGGGAGATTTGCTCATCAGCAACCAACCCTCCCTCGTGTTTAGTATATTCTTTGACTTTGCCCTTGGAGAGATTTAGTCCTTCAACCTAAG